AGTACCCTTTGTACTTCTTTTTCTTAATATTATGTTTTTTTTGCTTATGAAAAAAATTGACACTTTTTTAGTTTTTATTATTTAGAAAGTGTTTTTTTTTTTTACTTATTAGCTTAATTATTCTGCTTTGTTGTTTTGGTACATGCCAACATAGAATCACATGTCCAAGAATAGTACTTTAACTTTGGTCATATATGTTCCAGCCAGATGGGATCGGGGTTCTCTATTGTTGTTTATACAACTGCACAAAATCTGTGCCATAAAAAAAAAAAACTTATTTTTATATAGTTATAATTTAAAAAAAAAATTGTTTCAAATTTCATTATTTGTCAAATGCAGCTGCACCACTGTGCAGTGGTCAAGGTAAATGAATAAACAAAAATGATTGCTACACAAAATTTTATACTCTGGCACTATCAACCCCTTTTTTTTTTTTTTTTTTTAATCTTCCTGTTCTGCTTTGGTGGCTATGATTAATTATTGTGTTAGTTATGAGCTCCTTGTTTTTAATTAGTTTTATTTTATTTTTATTATTCTAGATTTGTGATCGGCAAAATAGAAGAGTATGCTTAATGGAACGCTTAATGTGATATTTATTGATAGATCCAAATTAAAAAAAGCATGGTTACCATGTCCATGAAAAAATATTATTTTATTGCATTTTTTGAAATATGTGAGAAAATAGTTTCTAAATAGTTGGTTAATAAGTAAAGTGGTAAAATATAATATGATCGTATAAAAGATAGATGTGTTTTAAAAGTTGAACCAAATATTAAAGATTCATGAAGATAAGATATATGTATTCGGTTGTTAATTGTGTATGTAGCTGTGTTAAATTTTGGGGCCAGTTATTCCACCTTTTGAGGTGTTTTCAATGTAACGAGGGGATTAGTCACTGCTATCGGTGGTGGATATTCTAGAAACGAAAAAAAAAAATGTATTCAGTTGTTAATTGTAATTTGCATGTTTGTGATTACTTTTATTTATATAAATAAAAAATAATAGATTACACGTTTGAATTTAGTTATGAATGGATAACTAATTAATTATAATTCAAACACACGCATAAGGATTAAACAATACTTTTAAAATATATTTATATGAATTAATCACATATATACCGTAAAAAAATTTTATATTGACAATCAATTATATTTTTTAATTATGTCATGTTATTGTTAAAAATAAACGTATATAGTAACATAATATAATTAAAAGATATAATTAGTTGCTAGTGTAAAATTTTTTTACACTGACAGTGTATAGGTGATTAACTCTATTTATATTTTGTTTGATCACATTATATTTTACCACTTTACTTATTAACCATCCATTTGCAATGCTTTTTCTTGCATATTTACAAAGCATGCAAGAAATAATGTATGGTACTAATCATGCTTCTTTTTTGTTATTTGAATCTATCAATAAATATTACATAAGCGTTCCATTAAGCATACTCTTCTAATTTCCGATCACAAATCTAGAATGATGGTTGGCAAATAATTTTATTATTTAAAATTTAAATTAAATATTTTGATTTAATTTTTTTAACGTTTCCTATATCAAGTTAACAAGTTACATTGTTACATATTTATTTGACCAGGTCTTATTCGTCTATTTCTGTTATTCGTTGGTTAACTTATATACACGTTAGGCTTTCGATTATTTTACCATGCCTTGTAAGTATTGTGTATGGAAGTTTCAAAATTGTGACTCGTTTTGGATAAATAATTTTTTTATATTTAAATTAATATTACTGAATTGTTCTACACTAAAAAAAAGTGTGTATTATTACTAATATAAATAATAAATAAAATTTTTTTAAAATATGTTATAAAAAATAATATCATTTTTATATATTGTGTTATATATATATATATATATATGCTCTTTTATATTATCTAAACAATAGTATACTATATAATAAATTATTTATTTGTCTTCTAGTGTACATTACATTTCTAGTTTTTATACAAGTTATCTAATAAAATTTTGTATTTTTCTAGTTTTTAATTTTTATTATTTTAACGGTAAGTTTAATGATCCAGTCTAAATTAAACTAAACATAATTAAACTATATTGATTCAAATTAGATTGAAAAATAAACTAATCAAATCAATTAAAATTAATAAAATTCAAATTAGAATATATCTCAAATTTAGTTAGGTTCGGTTCGTGTTTATCTGACTCTCTAGTGTTCTAATTTGATATCCAAACAAGTTTTTATTTATGTTATTAAAAGAGATAATCACCTATACATTATCAGTGTAAAGTGTTTTTTTACACTGACAGTCAATTAGAGCCGTTAATAGTGTCTTTTCATCTGTTCATTTAATTAAATTAAAATAAAAATATATTATTAACGGTCCTAATTGACTATCAGTGTAAAAAACTTTACACTGACAATGTATAAGTGATTAACTCATATTAAAACATTGACATTAGTACAAAGTTTCGTGCAGTTGAATGTTATGAAACACGTTCAGTAAAAATCTTAGAAAGCCCACTCAAAATATGTTAGTCATTTGATTTGATTAGATAACTTTTTCAACATGAGTTTGACTTTTTATGTTTATTTTTATAAAGATTACCTGTGTCTTACTTACTTGAGTAATCAGACACTCATGTTTCTCCTTCAAATGTATGAATTTGAAACCTTTCTCATAAAGATCTACTATCACTTTAGGTCAATTGAACAGTTGTATCTCGATGAAACTTTTTTACCTTCTTAGTGAAAATGAGTGAAACTCTTTACCATCTTAGTGAAAAAATGAGTTGAGTAATTTAGTTAATGAATAATAAGGTGAGGAATTAAAATTATCTTATTATATATATATATATATATATATATATATATATGATTTTTTTTATAATTTTTAATTAAACAATTAAAATTTATTTTATTTCTTATTTATTTTCATTCACTTTCTATTTCTTTCAATTCTATTCTCTCTCTCTCTCTCTTTTTTTTTTTTTTTTTTTTTTTTTTTTTTTTTTTTCTGTTTATCAAACACTCTACGACTTCAAAGCCTCTAGAGATGGGAGGACTAAGGGTACGGGAGGCTCGACATATGAATATGTCGTTCCTTGGGAAGTTGATCTGGGATCTCGTCCACTCTCACTACAAACCTTAGGTTAGTTTTGTTTGTGCCAAATATTTGAACGATGATTCAATTCTCCATGTATGCAGTAAGTCAGACACCTTACTAGTTTGGAGGAGTATAGTTAAGGCGCTTTAATTCATCCGTGAGGGGTTTCATTCAAAGTTTGGGTCTAGTCACTCATTGTTGTGGTTTGACAACGGGTCTGAAATGGGTAAACTTGGAGCTTAGGTTCTAGTGATTCACATTAGTGACTTTACTGTTACAATGGTAGATTGTTGGCAACTTGAAACATGAGATTTTGGCTTCCTTTGCACTGCTATCTCGAATAAGTGGCTGTGTTTTTTCAACAACTTGATATACCTTCAACTAAAGTTGGGGTAGACTCATTCACTTGGACGGGAGACCCTTTGGGATGTTATTTAGCTGCATTGAGGTTTAGATTTCTTAACGTAGAGAGCATCAGGTTGAACAATCTTATTTGGAAGAAAGTGTGTGGCGACTACACATTCTAGAAAAAAGTGAAATTTTTTCTATGGTTAGGATTGCATACAGCCTTACCTACGAACATGTTTCACCACTCAAGACGGTTGAGGGAGACTGACCTTTGTGCACGTTGTTCAAGTGAGCAAAAAACAATCCTTCATGCACTTTATGATTGCCCACATTCTCGTGAGATTTAGTCTTGGTTGGGATATACTCCACCTCATCTATTCATTAGCTCAAAGAGCGTTGTTTGGTTCAAAGACATTGTTATGCATTTTGAGGCTATAAGGTTGGCCACGACCAACTGATGGATATGGAGGTATAGAAACAATATGGTTTTTCAAGGTTCACGATGGCGATGCATTTGGTGCTAAAGAAGGTGCATGTTTCCCTTGCTGAATTGAATTGGTAGCTTAATTATATGAAAACATGGTTGGAAAACACATGTTGGTCCCCACCAAATTATCCAGGGGTTAAAGTAAATATTGATGGTAGTTGGTTGGAGGGTCAAAATAGGATGGGATATGGAGGGCTTATTCGGGATAACGTGGGGAGATGGCTGGGTGGTTTTACCAATTCAAAGACAGGGGGTGATCTTTTGCAAACTGAACTTTTTGCAATAAATTGTTGGAATTTGACTACAAACAAGTGGTGTGCGAGTCAAATTGTATTGGTGCAGTGTCTATGATTAAACGCGCTAATTGGGAGAGGAATCTTATTCATAAGCATAAAAATATAATCAATAATATCAAAGATTTGGTGGAAAGAGATTAACGAGTTACATTTACTAGAATCTCGAAAGCGATTAATCAAGTAGCTTATGTCCTTGTAAGTCGGGGAGATAGGTTGAGGGTTCAACATATAACATGGAGGAATCCTCTAAATTTTGTGTTTCAAGTGTATAAGAAGGATCTCTATTCCCTACATTAGTTTCTTTTCTTTCTAGTTATTTTTTGTCTAATTTTTTTCTCACGACACAAAGAAGAAAAGAATACACTCTATGATTTGGGTATGTGCAATAATTTTTTAAGTAAATCTTTAGTAAGAGTTTTAACATGTGATTAACACTTTATCCAATAGTATTAGTAGTTTTTTTTTTCGTTCAACCAACTTATTCACAAAAAAAATCATTAAATTGAATGATATTCTAATTTTACATCTTTAATTAATTATAAAATATAATTTATGATAACTTTTATGACAAAGAAGTAAAAAACTATATTAACATTACATTAATATTATCTATTAGCCGTAAAAAAATTACATTAATATTTAATTAGAAGACTCATGACCATCAAACTTTAATGTATTAAATATTTTTATATGTTCAATAAAAAAATTATAATAATTAAATATTAGTGTATATACTTTTTTTTTTCATAAATAAATAAGAATTTACCCCACTAATACTATTGTGCATTTTATTCATCTTGTGGCAAGAAATCTGGAACAGGATTGGCAGTTTTGGAGATCTGAAGAATATGGGTGGTTTCACCGCTGAAGATCTATCCACCATCGGCGGAATCGCCACCGTCTCGCTTCTTCATTCCTTCATTCCCACTCACTGGCTTCCTTTCTCCATTGTCGGTCGCGCTCAGAAATGGACTCTCTCCACCACTCTCCTCGTCAGTACGTTCTCCATTTCCACCTCTCTTCTCTCTAATTCCGCTACTTAGCTCTACTTTTACAATGCTTTACGGATTCTGCTTTTCTTCTGCGTTCTTCGGATCTCACTTGTGAGTTAAGTGAATCACAAGAGATAAATTATTCTCGCAAATGACTTGATTTCTGCATAAATATCAAATCTAGTGATGCGATTATGAGACTAAATATTGTTGTAAATGATTTGAGTTACGTATGTATACTATGCACATCTAAGTGTTGAAGAACAATGCTCAAAATTCATGAAGTATTCATAATTAATCCAAAAAGTAGGGTAAAACTTTCCTCCTTAGTATTTAACACGATTGCTTTGGCTAAACTAATTAAAAATTTAAATTCAAATAAAACTTTGCCTTGATAGGAATCTTCGATAATCGTCTTCATGATTCAAGTCTTTCTTATCATTTTCATTACTACTAAAATTTTAGATCTCTTCCTCATCATCCTCAACTATCAATTTCTTTCCCTTTCCCCTAGAGATTGAAAGCCTAGATGCAGCCGCCCAATTGCATTGGCAGTATCTTTCCAAGTCATGGTATCATCATTAAAGACCAAATCTTCTTTAGCATCTTTGCCATCTCCACCATTTCTCTCACTAACCACTTGTTATTATAGAATGGGATCAACTTCACAACGTTCAAAGTGTTCTTTGAGAGCTTGGTTTTACTTGATATAAACCCAGTCTTGCAACTTTTGAAGCTCAAGCATATCTCTCTTCTTCAAATATATTTATATTATAGTTTTGAAAAATAAAACTTAGTTTCACAATCATTAAATGAAACTCTGCAAATTTAAATCATTTAATATCAACTTACATGCTCAAGAGTACTCCAATTATGCTCACATTCCAGTGAACTACAAATCAAGCTCAATAATGGAAAGTTTTTGCAATTTTGGTGTATGTGATACATACATCCTCCACCACTCAACTGTAGTGCAGAAGTTATTTGCGTTAGGATGGACATGAATTGCAAAAATTTCTTTGTTCCTGTCTTCATTGCCTTTGACAGCACTGTTTCTTTCTTTATTTATTTAGTAAAGACTATAGGTATCTTTTATTGGAGATAATCCTATTTGAGTCAGGTAGAACATTTTGAATTTCCTTCTTAGCCCTATCCATTGCTTCATATATGTAACCAACCTTTTACATCTCCTCTTATTCCCATACGATATCTTGTCTTTCAACCTGTTACACTGCCATGCTATGTCAATGTTGTCACCTGTAGGTTTAACCAATGCACAAGAAGACACTAATATTGATGCTTCTGCAGAACTGTTTCTTTGTGGAGCTGCTTCTGTGTGTGGTTGAGGGGATGCCATAACAAAACACAGTCATTTGACTGTTGGAAGAGCTGTTTTCAAAGAAAAAAAATGGAGTAGAAAAACTAGAGCATGAATTGAGACTTGAGAGACAGTTATTCTTAAAAAAAAAACAGTGCAAAAAATAGGAACAAATGAGAACACTAGAAATCAAAAGAAAAGAAAAATGATGCAACAAGAATTCAGAAACAAACAGAGCTGTTTTTTTTTTTTTTTTTTTTTTT